TTGTAATAAATAAATAAATAATTCAAATATCTAACTTTGGCACAAGATGAAATTTTAGGGGTTTAATCAGTGACCAGGGAGAGACTTTGCTATGATAAAAAAAAAAAATACAGTTAGGCAGAACCTTGGTTTCCTGACGTAGCTTCTGTTTAGTTCCTGCATCCATCTATGAAAGAAAGTGACACTGACCCAGCTTTAGCAGCAGATGCATATTTAACATTTATTGCTATAATCCATCAGGTGTACATCCAACAGTGTTCCCTCACTTTTGACACACACACCTGCACCCATCATCACACCACCAAATATGGGCAGCATTACAGTTTTTCAACAAACTATAGGCGCTTTTCTTGACATGGGTCCAAAAAAAATGCTCCCCCAGGATAAAAACTGTAACAGGCCCTGCCCCTGGGCCCAGTCTCATTTCTTTTTTACTACAAAATGGAAAAAGGAGTGAAGGTCAGTGTTTCAGGACTCCTATACACCTTTTGCTGAGGACGTTAAAGCAGAGCCCTTCCCTTGGATTCGTAGAAGGCGGGGGGTAGGGACAGAACTGACAGACGGGAAACCTGGTTCGGGTCGGGCTTGAGGCCAGGCACAGTGATTTAGGCAGCTTGGCAGTTCATTCTAAAGATGCCGGTTATTCAACCTTCTGCCCAACACAGGATGGTCCTCATCCTTTGGGATTCAACTTCCATGTCAAAGATGGAGAATCGTCGCTGATTCAATTAAGTGATCTTTGAAGTGGACTGTATTTACAAATATATCATACACAATAATAGTATCCATTCTAGTTCAAAATGACCAGAGGACTTGTAGTTAAAATACAGCACTGTAATAAAATAACGTCTACCTGCAACCCTGTTTGAGTCCCAATAAAACAGATGAACACAGACTTTCAACAGCAGGTGTGATGTCATGATAAGCAATAAAATCATATCTCGTTTTCTGACAGATTGGATTTTGTTGTATTTTTGTCAAGTACACTTTGTCAACAGCTAATGACCAGATCAGCAGACATCAGTCACATAGCCTCCCTCTGGTGGCAAGTTAACAGATGTTACAACTTGCATTGAACAAAAAAAAACAAAACAAGAAAGGTAAAAAAAAAAAAAAAAGATTGGAGGCTTCGCTCTTCCCTGGTTGATTAAAAATATTTCTCTCTTCGGCTTGGTTCAACGTTCTGTTGAAAGGCTGTTCCGTTCGTTTCCAATTTGACACAAAGAAGGAATGGTCTTCTGGCCTCTGTTCCTGACTTTAGCTCTGTCTTCATGTTACACAGTGCCAATCCACGCAGAAGAATCCTTCCCCGGACTCGTCATCCCCCAACACATCACATATACAAACACCTGCACAACGCAAACGGACACCAACATTAGTATGAGACGAAGCAGGTCAGACGAAAACTGTTTTGTTCATTTAAGCTACAGTAGAAACTTTTTTTGTTATTCTGTTTTTTTTCTTGTTTGTAAATGAGGCCTTCATACCTCAGTGTACTGGGAGCTTAAATAAAAGACAGAAAACAGTTCTTACTCTTTGCTGAGTATCTTCTGTGCGAGGGGCTAACGTCCGCCACTAGCATTCACCAGACCATGGAAGTCTTCCCATGCTCTGCGGACAGAGGACGCAGGGCATCATCATTCAAAATAAAACAACAGTTCAACATATGCGTGCCTTTTCAAAGGGAAAGTCACACTCACATCAATTTACTGCAAAAACACATTGAACTTGATGGAGCTACATTTTGTTTTTTTGTTAATATACGCCAACAAATAACAATTAAAATATAGAAAACAAGACTTTTGTCTGTTTTTAAAAGCTGTGAAACAAGCATTCAATTAGCAAATCAAGAAAAACAACAGCAACAGTAGAAATAGTCACTGCAGTAAGTAGTCCAAAGGATTATTTGAGTATCTAATATAACCTTAGCTATTTCATAACTTAAAATATATTGAGGTAGCATCTTAACATTGCAGTTTTTATCCCAAAGCAGTCAAAAAAAAACCCAAAACATTTTACATTTACAGCAAATCTTTACAACAGAGAAGCTGTAACAAGAAAATTCTATTTTAAAAAATCTAATTTATCAAAACCACATCTGAGTAGCTGTACATGTACGGAATATGCAATGTTGTATAAAACTGTGCTCTTTGAAGCAATAACAAAACATCACATTTAAAATGTTTTTGAGCATGCACATTTATGCAAGTGTGAAAGAGATAGAAAAGTTGAAGAGAAAATAATAAATCGAGGAGACATACATACTTAATGCTGTCTGTGTGTGTCTTGTACTCCATGATGGTGTTGGGAGGCAGGTTGAGGACTCTGCGCAGGGTGTCTCTGATGCGGGCGGTGGTCGCCTGGTCACTCGCCGTTTTGTTCCAGATGGAGATGATGTCCTCCTGGGCGGAAAGAAACATACAGGGAAGGAACGTCTGAGTGTAACGAGATCAAGCAGATAGTGACATTTACAATAGTCGTGTGTCTGTTGTTGGGTTTTTACCTGGAAGCGTACCGACACCACAGCCCCGCAGATCTCCTCTCCTACCATGAACTGCTCCCCCAGCATTGCCAGGATCAGGTTCTCCCAGCATCGAGACGCCAGGCCTTTCCTCAGTCGTATGATCCACTTTCCACCCATCTTATTGGCATCATCCTAAGCAGGGTTGCAGAAGAGGTTGATTTATTTATGGTGAATAATAAATCAAACATATAATATTGTCTGCACGATACTGGATGGGGTCAACGATGGGGACTAATAAACTCTGAAATCAATATATCGGCCAATATTCAATATTGAATTTCCCTTCTGGGATAAATAAAGTATTTTTCATTTAATTTCATTTCATTATTCTGTATGTGTGGTATATTGGAGCTTTACGGTTTCACAGAAGACATGAAGCTTAACTTTCTAGCACCATCTGCTCAACTGTGATACACACTCTGCTACATGTGCTGCAGACAGTGCTGAGTATTGCGAAATATAGAGTTGGAGCCACTTCACAAACTATGTTACGACAACATTTCTAAATTACCGCAATTATCTTTTACCATATTATTTTCTTCAAAAACAAACAAAAGTTTTGTATATGTTGCCTGATGTACGCCGGCCGATTTATATGTGACAGGCCAATATCAGCCCAAACATCCGCCAACTACTTCATCAGTTGGGCTCTAATCTACAACAAGATCATGCATATTTTTAGTGCACAAGAGACCAGAGGAAAAACAAGATGTCAGCAAATATACTCACCTCCCACATGGGTTTAATGCCTTCCTTGAAGAGGTGGAAGTCACTATGACCTGTCAGGTCACCAGGCCGGATCATGTGACTATAAAAACGCCAAAACTGCTCCACCTTGGGAAGGAGGCAATATGTCCATTGACAACTGTTAGAGAATGAGTCAGCAAAGCTTGCATGTACAGACTGTGCCTGGCTGAGGTGATAAACAAAAGCAAAACAGCGTCCCCTCCCCATTTATGCCACATAAAGAGATTATGAGGAGCGACTGACCGAGGCGAAGCTGCCAATCTGTTTGATGTTCTGTTCGTAGCTCTGAGTGCTGGCCGGTCTCCCTGGGGTGCGCCTCGAGTACCAAAAGGTGTAGTTGTATTGAAGAGGATGTTCTCCGGCCCCTGGAACCACCATCTGCCAAAGACGAGGAAGTCACTTAGTCATACGATTAACTTACAAGCAGCAAATGCATACGTGTCGTTCTTGAAGAGCCCTCACTTTTTTCTTGGAAGTGTTCTGTTCTTTGTCTTCGTCTTCAGTTTTTTCCTTCTCACCGTCTTTCGGTGAGCCTTGGTCCTGGTCGTGATCTCCACTGTCATCATCTTTCAGACTGGGTTTTGTGAAAAAAAACAGGAAGCAAAAAGAGAGAAAAAAAAAGTCATGCATTTGCTAGTTTAAATAAAGAGGGACATAAAGTCCTTTGACAGTTAATTAACAGACCTGCAATAGATTCTGCTTCCATTAAAGTTCACTTTTATGAAGGTCTTTAATCAACATTATGGTCAGTGGAAGCTGTCATTTGTGGTGTTGCAACGACTAGTATTTCTGATATTTAGTGTGGCGTCGTTGAAACAAATAGGGCTGTCAAAACACAACAAAACTGAACTACAATCTCAATGAAGGGAGGATTTGTTGCAGGGCTGCTGTGTTGCACTGCATTAGTTTGAGCTGGGTGAACCTGATAAACTGGCAATTCAGTGTACTTTCCCCCCGTGGCCTGCAACGATATATGCCGATTTTAATGCCCATGCACACACCTCTACTTTAAACTATCCCGAACGTTAACAGCACCTGTCCGTCTGTCGGACACGGTGTCAGTTTGTCTGCCCGTATTTTTAGGCCAATGGGAGTCGAGTTTACACCGAGCAGCACGCACCTTCCACCGGCCACTCAACAACTACCACACCGAGGCTTCGCGGCCTACCCGCCTTCCGCCAGGCTAAGCTACGGCTAACAACACACCGCATTCCTCAATATAAATCACTATTCCCTCCTCGTTGGTGCTTCCTTTCCTTTCAAATGCACCCGTGTGTGTAGACCTCACTCTCGTGTGGGTTTATAAACGCACACGGAGCATGCAGGACCATGCAATAAAGCTGACACACCTCTCTCTCTCTTTTACACGCAGCGCAGCTTTCGTTAAACGTTACGCTCCCCGGTGGATTTGCAGACCCCACGGGGTGCCCACTGCCCGGCACATATTCCACAGAAACTTTAGGTTACTCACGCGTCAAATTTGTTGTTCATTATTTTCTAGGTGGGAGCCTTTCGGAGTCCGACCACAGCCTCCTGAATTCCGCAGGAACGGCGACGCGCACAGTACAGACACGTGGGCGCGCATGCTGTGTGTTTAGTGGTGAGCGTGGAGAGGTCAGAGGTTACACACAGCTTTAATCAAAATGCATTCATTTACACTCGTGAGGCACAATATACACACACATGAAGCTGAAATCACGTTAAAAATATGAGGCACTTCAGTACAAAGTTATTTCTGAATACTTTATTCATCACATCTCACGATTTCCAATCATAATAAATACACAACACAGTCCCATTCGGATCAGTTAATTATAGCTTTGTAAAACTCTGTTAGCTGTGGTGAATAATCAGAAACCCTCAGCACACACAGACACGTACCAGCAGCCAGACACACACACAGCACCACACATGCGCAGCCTCAACACAAAGAGGACCGGCGGCTTCTTCATATGAACCGTCTTCCTCTGATGTGCCGTGTCCCTCGTTTCATCCCTTCCGTCCCTCCGCTTGTCATCTGTTCTTGCGGCGACTTCAAACGGCGGCTCTGTTCAGGTCCGAGCAGAGCCGTGGACCGAGTCTGGGGGTACAGAAGGGGGTTGCTGGAGGGTGAGGATGGGAGTTAGGAACGGAGCGGACTTCTTTTGGTCCAGCCCGATGTTAAGTGTTTGGTGGGCAGGTTGGTGGACGAAGGACTGTGACAACCCCGTGTTTGTGTCTAGGAGCAGACAATGCAGGCTAGATAAGAAGCAGAGTGTCTGGGGGTGAGGGATGGGAGGAAAGCTCTGGGATGGTATGGCACGGTATGGTGTGGTGTGGTTTGGTTGGCTCTGCTGTGGCAGACCATCCCCTCGCCCCTTGCCCCCTATGCCTCTGTGAGGACCTTCATGAGAGGGCTCTTTGTTCCAGGCCGGCAGGCGCACCAGTGAGTGAATGAGCGAGAGCAGCGGCGGCCTTCTTCAGTGGCGGCTGTTTGTTTACACCAGCCAGTCCCGTCATACTTCATTAGCAGCCCAGCCCACCGACAACCTCTGATGTCCTAATCGCCGATGAGTGTGTAGCTGCCCATCAGCCCAGAGCCTCAGCGGTTCAGGATAAAGGGGTTTCTGGGATTCCCACTAAATCTGCCTGCCTTCTCAGCCACTCATGGTACATATATGCACACACACACACAAACACACACACACACACACACGTCCTCTGTGGCGAGGGTAGATGGTAGAGCTGGTTCTTTCATCGTGGGCCAAGAGGCACTGCGAGGTGAGTCAACGTCAGTGGAGCAGCAACAGTCCCAGAGAACTAACTCCGCATCACAGAGATGTGAGAGACCTGCCGCCCGGAGAGACACAAAGCAACACAGAGGAGTTATTCAGTGCTGCCATCTTCTGACCACAGTCATTAAAGAGGAAAGTTAAAAATGTAAATATAAATGCAATTTGTTGCCCTGAACTGTGCTTGTTACAGGACTTGCTGTAAACCATTTAATGTGTTGAGTCTGTGAGGAAGTAGAACACAGTGGGAGAGGAGACGCTGCCCGAGATGAAGTTATGACGATTACGTTTTTGGATCATAACGTAGGAAAATACGTATTGTAACTTACAGTCATTTTGTAGACTGACATGACTGATGGCCCTAGTGAGACACTGTCAAACATATTTGACAGTAAACTGATGTCTTTAAATTGATATAAAAAGAAAAACAAATTCTCACATTTGAGAAGCCTGAATTTTTGCTTTCATTTGAGGTCAACGGCTCAAAAAACGTCTTTTTTTTTACAAATCAATCAATCAACCAATTAGAACAAAGCTACACAACGCAACAACATTCAAACAAACCAACCTCCTGGATGGCTTTCCCGAGCCTTTCCTGGCTTTGCACCACTTTCCTGAAAGACACACAGAACCTCGTCATTTCTGAGAGTTAAACAACCACTAGAACCAAAATGATCACAATTACCTGTGAAATAACAGTCTGATCGATTACAACATCAGCTAACCTGTGTATTCTGCGCGCCAGGCTGAGGGTGAAGTTTGCACAGCAGTCGGGCTGATAAGTGGATGGCACGATGGTGTAAGCTCCAGGAGGGAGAGAGCAGGCCAAACTGACGTCCTGCGTGTAACAGTGAGGGATGCAACTGGCCACAGGATCCTCATCCCTGGCCATCGTCTGCTCAGATACCCCTTCTCGTACCTGGGATCATCGTCAAAATAAGATACTTAGGATCAAAATGGCAGCTTTGACTCATCCACCATATTGTCTACGTAAAGGAGCACGATAAGATTAAGGAACTTCGGGGTTTTACAGAAGTGGTGGCGCTTACACAGTCAGCGTAATAGAGAATGTCTGCACTCATTACTGAACTGGTTTTTCATAGATAAACCCTAATTTGGTTCTAATGTTTTGGAACTATCTGACTGTCTATTTGTTCTTGTTGTTTCTTCATTGTTTTAGATAGTTTCTGTTTATTTTCAGTAGTGTCTATGGGGCACAAAACAGCTGTTACGGTGCTCATGTACAAGCACAGACTGTGTGCACAGGACAGTCCTTTGAATTCCTACACATTGTCCAGAAGACAGGGAGAATTCTGAGGATTTTTTTTAAACCACTGCTTCCCCTTAGTTTTTGCAGTGGATGGTTGTTCGTGCAGCTTGTAGAGCGCGTGTGAGCTAAAGCAGGAAACACTCCTTTGTCACTGTTTCTGAAGGGAAATGTCAAACAAGAAGCTGGTTTAAGCACAATGCTTCTACACACATAGGCACAGACTGAGACTCTCATCCTCCGCCAGGCTCCTCTGTACAGGAACCACAGCAGCAGGTCCAGATGAACACTAGCTCTGGTTCCACAAGGGAAAAGATGCTGTGTGCAATCAGCTCTAAGGTTCTCCTGGCTGGTAAAAACAATCCGACCATGTGACTCTCACTAGTTTTTAGTTTGTTGTGTTTTGGATGCCGTATTTGTGCGATTGCGTGTTGTTTGTTTGGGCACATTTTATATTATAATCTATCTTCTGCCTCAGCTATGAGAAAGAGACACCCACTGGTCTACTAGGGGTTTTTGTGAGGCGTCTGAGGGACTGCTGGAGGGAGGGTTGTGTTTGTTTGGCTGCTCAGATATCAACAAACCTTCCCAGGAGCAGCTTACATGACCTTTATTGTGCACTCCGCTCAACCAACAAACCACGTAAGCTCACTGATGCTTGATTTCTCACTGTCACAGATGCTATAAAAACCATCGTTGCAAATGGGAAAACACCCTTAAAGTGTGTCATAAATCACCACAGTAGTAATGAAGCTAAATTCAAGTTTTATGTTGTTTGTTTCTGTTCTGTTGTATTTGCTTAAATGTAAGATATTTAACACCACTGCTGCTTTGGTCCACTTAGTTACATTTGGAAAGTATTGGAACATGTTTCTATTTGGCTTCAAGCTAACTCAAACACCTGACAGTGTAAAACTGACAAAATAAGAGTAAACTTTTCACAAACACTGACATTTTCCCTTAATGTTTGACTGACCTTATAAATGTGAAAGCCAATGGGGTGCAGGTCAGTGTCGGGGCGGCTCTGCTGCAGGGTAATCCTGACATTAACTCCTGATGTCATCGCTGGGTCGTCACACACTGTAAAAGGGAAGCAGGGGTTCTGCCGGTGAGACAGAAAGTTCCTGCTTCCTCCGGCCGTCCTTCCCTCCACCCACGAGCCGCGGAAGTAAGTGGTCTCCCACTCGCCATCTGTGGTTAAGGGCAGTGAGGGCGCTGGGCTTTTCAGGGCACTGAGGATGACATTAACTTTGTTATGTCATGAACAACACAATCAGAAGCATTTTTTTTTACATAAAGGAAAAGTTGAAAAATCCCTGCTCTGGTGAAAACATGTGAGATTTAGCATCTGAAAGTAAGCTGATCTTGTTTTGTTAATTTTTGTTCTGTTGATTTGAGAACGATTTATTAACCTAAGGGCACAAATCAAGTTATTTTTTTCATGATTCCTGCAGGACCTTTGGGAGATAACTTCCATACACATCTGTGAAAGCACTCACGTTACCATAAAAAGGAACATATTATTTATCTAACGCATGTGTATCGTAGACTTTACAGAGATAACTCTCTTCCCATTAAGTCATCCTTACCTGAGGGATGTGGAGGAGGAGGAAAAGACCCTGATGAGAAAGCGGGCCTCGGCTCCTGGCTGGTAGGTGCTGGGGATCAGAAGGTAGTATCCGGGCTCCAGATGCCTGCAGAGAACCACCTCTCTCTCATAGGCATGGCAGTGAGATGAAGCACAGGGAGGTTTGTTCAACATCCGGCTCAGATTAAAACGCTTCTTTTCCACCTGGTGGGAATGACATGAGAGTAACAAGTTGCAAAGCCTCACAGACACACACCAACATTTATTTAATTGCAAACAACGGCACAAACCTTCCACATGTGTAGAGCGATAGCCTGGTAGTGCTGGTGCTTTGTGTTCTTGCTGTCCTCCAGTGGTGTTTGTGCATAAGTCTCTGTGTTTCTCCATTTTCGATGCTGCAGCAGCGATACCAGTACCTCTCCTCTCTCACAAACCTTGAGCCAGAACTTTGGGTTGCTGCTGTAGCTGCTGCTGTTTCGGCTACCGCCAGCAGAGTGCCCTTTTATCCACCGGCCGGCCAGCTGATGATTGTGTGTGAGCAGATTTCCTGTCAGAGGACAAGAGTCATCGGGATAAATAAAGGGCACGAAAGTAGTCAAAATCATAGCATGAATACAGAAAACCTCTCCAGCAGAAGAAGTGACTAACCAGTATAAATGCTTTTCAAGTGTCCTTCTTCGCTGATGGGATATCCCACCGTGACATCGTCAAAATGGGACATAAATTCGGCTTCATCCAACCAGAACTCGCCCTCTGCCACCCTGGCTTGTAGGTCTGAGGCACAATCAGGGTGAACAGAACTCCAACCTGCACCACTGAACAGACAGAGACAGAAACACCAAGTTAACTGGGATTGTCTGGACTTTCCCGTACTTACAAACTTGTCGACATCACAGATATCTATCTGTGAATGGCAAAATCTCTGCACAAATTCACAATAAGTGAACCCTTGTCATTAATGTAGGAAGCTTTGATATTTGCAGATGAGAATGTCACTCAGAGTAATATTTTGACACAAATAACACTGTGAATGTGCCGATTCCTTGATAGATTTAACTTTTGAACCCCTTTCAGTCACAGATTCAGCAATTTGGTACTTTAACTTCTCCTCTTTGCACAGAGTCAACAATATTTCTTAATGAATATGCTCTCATGTGGCTGCAGCTTTCTGGACTGACTGAGTTCAGGGAGTGGAGGAGAGAAGCCACACGGAAACTTAAATTAGCAGAAAAACGTAACGGCATGTTGCCATTGTTTATCTGTTAAACCCTTTCTTATTTGTTTTCATTACTTAACTTGACTAGATGTCTTTTCTTAAAATGCACACAGTCTGCATGAGGGACATTATTACTGTGTCTGGAACTTCTAAATTAATGCTACTTTGGTTGTGTATACACTGGCCTTTATAAAAATGTTTTTAAAATGAGAGATTAGATTTGGTTGCATATTGATGATGTGAAAGGAGTTTGAAAAATAGCTAGCGTTAAGCTAGTTAGGTTTAGCTTGACTTAATGATGCAGTTGTAAAACCTTCTAAATTAGCCTCTTACATAATATAACATCATCTGGTGACTTCTTCTCCACAAGTCTTTGGATTCAACAAAACCATTTTTGAGGTTACACACTGCTACAACAGACAAATCTTCCCCATAACACACACCTCCACATCCAGGCCCCTCCCCAGCAGCATCTCCCCCAGGGGTTTCTGATCCTGAGAAGCCGTACTTCCCCCCCTGACACCTTCTTTACATCCAGCCACTCCATGACAGTCATAGCATGGTACTGATCAGGCTCGCTGACTCCTAAAACAGACAAGAAGGTCAACAGGTGATGTGGCACACAATCACTCCTTGCATTATCTACAAGGGAGCCCTTTTTCTGACCTCTGGGGGTGCTGTGAGTCGAGCAGCTGAGTGCACAGTCATCCTTCACGGGGAACAGAAGGTTCAGGTCCAGCCTTCTCCTTCTGACCTGGTCACTGTCCTGCTCGGTTTGCTGATCCTCCTCTGAACCAGAGTCTCCCAGGCTCCAGTGCTCAGCTAGGCCGCCAGTCAAATCCACCAGGGCCTCAGACACCTGGCCCGCCCACAGCTGTTCATATGAACCATGAAGCCTCGAGAGGACGAAAGGGACAGGAAAGGGGATTTTCAAATTCCACTACACACGTAATCTGGAATGCACTACAAGGTTACAATGTCAATGTGTGTGTACAGCAGGTTAAACAATGAGATAAGACAGGGAATTTCCACAGGCTACATACTTGGCATAGGCCTTCTCCAATAGAGCTACCCAGAAGGCAGTGGGGGAGTGGCAGCGTGAGAAGCAGAGAGCAGAATTAATACACGGCAGGCGGTCATCAATGGTCACCTCTGTCCAGTGTCCCTGCTGCCAAAAGCGAAACTGAAAAGAGCCTGTGTACCTGCTGTCACCCCACTGAGGCTGGTCTGGAGGCAACACCTGATGGACAGACAGGATGAGCAGAGCAGTGCAAGAGATGAAAAACACTTTTGACATGCTAGTTGGTTAACATCCTCTGGATTCAGTATAAAGCGGCTCCAACGACTACCTTGTTTAAAAGCTGTTTGTTCTTGAGCAGGGAGGTGCACGCACAGAGAAACCAGCAGTCTCCTAATAAGCCTTGTTTCGCATGACCTATGCTGATGTCGCTGGGGAAGAGCGCTGGCGACTGGCAGATCTCCTGGAGGTGTGAAATCAAAATAAAGTTGGACTGAGACACGCAGACTTGAAAAAGACTCACTCGACTCCTTGCATCCTACATGCCTAAACTGAAAGCAGCTAAACGGTGCTGATTAGTTACATATAATAATACAATAGCATTGAACAGTAACTTTGAAACCCTGTTATATAATCAAATCAACCAGGTGATGAGGAAAATCCTTCTCTGGCCTTTCAGATCAACCTGTGACAGGTGATGCAAGTTAACGGGCCGTGAGCCAAAAACGATCTTAACAGCAGCCTACAAACATTTGACCCATAACAAGAATTTACTGCGGCATTTCCAGCTTCCCTCTATGACGCTCTCACCTGCGGGCGTCGCCAGCTGACGTCTCCCTGCAGCCTGGCGATGGGCGTGGAGCTGTCTAGGAACAGGGACGTGTCCTCGGCGGGGAAGTCCAGGTCCTCGAACAGAGCTGCACCTCCACGGTCTGCTCTGCCCTCCTGCTCCTTCATAGCTCCTGCTTCTTTCAGCCTGGATCGGGGTCAGTGGGTGAACCTCAGCCGGCTGTGACCATCTTCACTGTATTTATGGACACACAACATCAGCTGCATTATTGATTCATGGCATTTTGGAAGATTCGTGATATTATTGTTATTATTAGGAAGTTGCATGCAGAAGTTTTGACTTTATGTTTACTTATAGCATATAAATATTGTTGTTGTTCCACATAATGGAACAATATGGTGTTTTAAAAACCTACATATGGTAGTAAAAGTGTCTTTTAGAGGGGAAACATGCCTTGAGGTTTATGTTTTAGCTAATATCCACTTAATAACACAACTGTAGTGACACTGTTACACAAAGAAAAGCTGTGACACTTTCCCAACTGAAATGTGATGTTATAAACTCAGCATGTGACTCTGTGTCTCTGTTTTCAGCTCCAGTATCTTACCTCTCTCCTCTTTTTCAGCACCTTCCCCCCTCGTAGCTGTCACTACTCATATTAGCACAGCTAGCACAGTTAGCTCCAGCTAGCTCGCGCTGCTGCACACATGTACCCTAGCATCTCCGCGTCGCTTCATCTTGTCACGGTTTCACAGCCAAAGCGACTCGGTGTGCGCATTTCGCCTCGAGTAACAAGCTGTTTTCTAAAGCATTCGCGTCATATTGTTGAGGATAAAACACACGGAGAGTCTCCTGAGCCTGGGCATCTCCAGCAGCTCTCTCTCTCTCTGTGATGGAGTGAATCCTTCCGGTGCTGCTGACCAGCGCCGCCCACCGACGGACCTCCGAACTGCACGGTGACGTTCACAGCGTTTAATCTCAACTAAAAGTGCAAATATGACAGTGTGAAAAAGTCCTGCACTGAGATAACCCTGAGGAGGCAAAAAAACAAAAGACATGATGCTGCTGTAACAGGATAAGAAAAAACATACTTCTACTTTTAATTTACCAATGATCTGATGTGCACAGAATAATAAAGGTACACAGAATATTTTGCTCATTTAGCTGATGGCTGTTTAAAATAGCCCAGGAGAAGATGCTGCAGCTTATTTGAGAGGGAAAAAAATCACTTACAGGCAAAAAATCCAGTTCATTAAAAAAATAAAAATAAATTAAAGGTTTTATTTGTCATTAATGCATTGCACAATGGGATTATCTCTCCACATGTCCAGGTTTGGCTTCACAGATACCATTAACCCCTATTCAGGACTTTTTGGGGACTTTTGAACCCTGAGCCATTTGGTTTAGGTGACCGATATTGTTTTTTGTTTTTTTTTTTCTTTTAAATATAAAAAGAGGGACATCAGTAATTTCCCAGACTGCAGTAATTTCCCAGACTGGGATTAATAAAGTATTTTCCTATTCTATTTGTCATGTTTTTGGAACCAATAATACGTCAACTTATCAGACATTTTATCTAACATAGTATAAAAGTCTATAATGAATACCAATAAATATTTTGCACATATTTCCAGTGGACCCTGAAAGACCTTCTACATATGGGTACATGAAAGTCCTGGATAGGGTTAAGGGTCTTGCTCAAGTAAAGCCCATTTAGGTGGCTTTGAACTCCTGACCTTTTGAATACCAAAGCAGAGCCCCAACCATACAGCCACCACTTCCCTCTAGCACTGCAGTTTAAAATCCATGTGAAGATGTTATCTGTCGTACCCATATTAGTCATGTTCTTCGGTGCATCCGTCCACACGATATTGTCACAAATATCGTGCTGTGAGATGCAGAAATCTGTGAAAGTAGCAAAAAACTGGAGATTATAGTTAAATGAACTTAATCTATCAGATACCTGGTGGCAAAAAAGACATGAGGGGTGTCAGTGCGCTCTCATAACTAAAGTGAAATGAGCTAAAAATGAATTGAACTATAATTTAGACTCACACGAGGGAGCGCTGTTGTGGCTAATTTTTCCGTATTTAAGTATTATCATGAAATCAAACTTCGAAATTTAAAAGTAAAATGTCTGCTATACTATTCCAAATTATATATTATTATTAGCCATGCATATTAGTCAAAGCAAGATTCTATTGGTTGAGGTTAGGACTGCAACAACTCATCACTTAAGTCATTACTTGTGAACTAGCAAATTAACCGCTAATTATTTTCACAATTAATCAGTTTGAGTATTTTTTTTTAAAAGAAAAGAATACTATATCAGTAGTATATTACTATGATATACATAGCATAATACTATAAGTATCAGTGCTATAATACTAACATAATAATACCAGTAGGCTATAATACTATTCTACTGTATTTTTTTCACTATAAAAAAATTCTATATCCTTTAGTTCCAGCATTTTAAATCTGAAGAGTTTCGGATTTCTTTATTCCTCTATGATCCTAAACTGAACATGTTTGGGTTGTAGACAAATGAAGACATCTAAGGACAAGATCTTTGGGTTTTGGGAAACAATGATCAACATTTTTTACCATTTTCTGACATTTTCTAGACCAAACATTCAATTAATCAACATAAGGTTTAATGTCAGTGACAATAATCACCCTAGTTGAGACGGATCTCATTTTGAACTAAATTTTATCCAACTGCATCTAATAGTTTGTTTCTTTTGTTTTAGTTTGTTTTATTTTGTCATTGAATTACGTTTCTTTTCTTCTTTGCAGTGAATGCTTCTACATCAGGTGCTGTGTTTGTTCATGGATGTACAGAATTTTTACAGTGATTTTTTTTTTTAAATAAATAAAATGAGAATAAAAGAAGTGGATCCAAAAAGTTTTTTAAAAATATTGCATTTATTGATTTCAAATCAATACATTTTGACACATTTTAGGTACTAAAAGTAATATATTAATTCAATTTGAAAAACTTTAACATGAGGCATTGAATTCATCTTGTGCATCTTCATGTCTCTGAGTTGACGACCTCAGGTGGCCTCCACGATGCTGCTCAGTGTCTCCTGGTTAGAAAGACAACATAGAAATCATTAGATACAGGCACACTCAAGACAGCTGAATCTGGAATCAGAGTTGCTGCCGGTGTTTTCTCTGTCGGAGTACGAAGGGAAGGTTCAGTAAAGACAGTGTCATACCGTGGAATCAACTCCTTGGCCTTCTGCACCCATTCGTCGTCCGGGTTGCCACAGACATTTTTGTTTCTCTTGGTCCTGAAACTGTTATCAGACAAGGAAAGAAGTTCAGAAATTTGTACAATAGCAAAGCTGACAGTTTGTACTTTACACTAAAGACTAAAGGTTCTTACACGACGGCCTTGATGTTGCAGTAACCCGTGTTGTCTTGGATTCTGTAGCTTTTCAGCATTTTAACCGGGACCTGAGTTTCTTGGTACTGCGTGCAGCAAAACCTCATGGGACCTACAAAGAAAAGAACCACAGATTCTCAGTAAAAAAAAACAAAGGCCAGGTGACACACATAATGACCCACTTCACTGTGAAAAAAAGTGCATAATTGAGTGTCATCATGTAGCAGTGAATCATTGGCGAAGTCAGACTTACTGCTTTCACTCAGCGCCACCAGCAGCACCAGCAGTACAGCAGCACACACAGCGAGCTTTGCCATCGTCCTCGGCGGTGAATCTGATCTGGATTGTCGGTTGGGATGAACTGACAAAGGTTGTCTTTGGTAGTGGGGTTTAAATACAGTGAGATCAAAGGTAGCGTCTGACCGCAGACTGAGGAACTTGGTTGGAAACACCTACGGCAAATTTTTACCAAGCGGGAAGTATGACGCGCCCTGGGCTTTCACCAACAATAAGGGCATAAAACCCCCTCATCGCAAGATAGATTTAAGAACTGGTACGATATTGATATTTATGCTAAAGATAAATACTGTCAAAGACCTCCATTATTCAGGTGCTGCACCTAACTTGTAGTACAAATACAAGGCATTTCCACTTAACTTAATGATTTTCATTTCATGTTACTTTCTGCTTCTCTTCATTACTTCAGAGGTAAATATTATTTCTGGGGTTTTTTATTTGCATATTAAACTACTCACTCTATAGGAAGTGGCTAAATTTGCTTCCCATTCACCAACATTAAAATTCTGCTTTCACAGTAATGCAGAACTAACAATAACATAAACAATACAACATTAATAATACAATGACAGCATCATAAATACTTTCACTATTTTAAAAAAAAAACTTTTACTTTATCCTGCCGCTTTGTTTTATAGATTTACTTGAATATTTACTCAAATATAATTTTTTTCTTCCACTGCTGTTAATAAAATTGAGTCTTGAGAACAAGAAACACAACATACAGCAAACCCAAACCTCACAACAAAACATCCTGCTGACCTTATTGCAATACACATAGCAATATGATGCAACGTACACGAGACATCTGGTCTCGTGTACGTTCATCTTAGTTTCTGTTTTTACATCTAAGTTAAAATTTGTCATTAGTGAACGACAGTGAACGGACATTTTAAGCCAGCTTAAGTTTAATCATCAAACAGGAAAACAGCCAACAGCTCACAACCTTTTGTTTTTTTCTTTCTAACCTTTTCCAACAAGCATATTCATACTAATTGACTTAACTGAAGGCTGTACACCCCCTACATCACTCACTTGCCCAGACGGCCCTCTGTACAGAAAGGAAGTGTGGCTTTGTGTCATCGTGAGGCATTTAGGGTGACTCGGGTGGTCGAGGTGGTTGTCCACTAATGGTAAGGTTGGTGGTTCAATCCCCCACTCTGTGTGTGTGTGAATGGATGAATGAGGTGTGTGCTTTGAGTACTGACCAGTAACACATTGATCAGTTCATAGAAACAGTCTTGTTTCAGCCTCTTTTTCTCATTATTTACAGAAGACATGTCACACATTGAAGAGTGCAGGTGAAATAATACAGCAAATGATGTCCACTGAGCTGCTTCTGTTTCACTGTCTGGATATTGTGGGGTAAAGACGACACCAGCCCAGGGCTCTGTGAGGATGGTTGATTCTTAAATTGGATCAATTGGGACAGGTGGATGTGGAGCCCAATTTGGGAAATGTTTCCTCCTGTCCGTAATTCTTAATGGCTGCCCTGACTGTCATGCTGCTGTGTCTTACATTCTCAGAGAGCAGACAATGCCAGTGATACGTCTACTTTACCTATGACTGTGACAAACCGAAATGTCTGCTGTTGAAAGGCCTCCAGCTATGACTTCTTGTCAGGGGGGAAAGCTGTACTTCTATACTTAAACCATTACAGGTTCTGAAAACCGTTTGTGTTTAACCAACTTCCTTTCATGAACTTTGAAAGAATTTTATGAGTTTTTCTGCCAAATTTTGACCTATTGTGTTTCTGTCACACGATGAATTAGAGTATTCCTCTTTTTATTCTGTGAACGGAGTCTATTGAAAACTTCCTCCTCCTGTGAGTGATCATGTTTTACTTGATGTCTTGATTCTGGACATTTTGTCTTTCATCATTGAACAAGAGGAAAAAATCCGGATCTCGTTCACAGGATTGTGACGAGAGCGTCTTGAAAAAATGTGGACTCATTTCTTCACAAGACATTTTAAGTAAAGCTTATCGTGACATTTTGAAAAAGAAAACTGTATTCAGTGATTCGATCTGCTCCTGAATTTTGAGCCACTTGACTGTGTTGCATCAATAGTTAATTTACTCACGACATGTGGACTCTTTTACACGATGAGTCTACACGCTGCAGGAAATCAGATCTTTACTTTAACTCAAACGTGGTGCAGTTTCGGCGGAAAGTTCGTGTTACCAAATTAGACCTACATTAACTGCGAGTGACCTATTTCAGTGCTCCCAGTGCATTTTTGTTTCTGTGATGCATGGGTCTTGAGTACCTCTTGCATGTTCCTCTGACCTAGAAAAGAACCTCTGCATAACCTCAAAGCAACCCACTTGTAGCGGCCCACATCAAGCCAGAGCAGGGAGGTCTTGAGCGAAACTTCATCCTCTCATCCTCCTTAAACTCTTAAAACATGCTTGTAAATGTCACACAAATGTCACCTTTTCTTTTTTTTTTTCAACAAACGTTATCACGACTTTAATGATTTATGTGCGTAGCGAGAGTCACAAAGACGAGCCGCTCCTTGTAACTTCCCGTGTTGCACTGGCTCTGCAGGACTTTGTTTTGTGAAGGTGTGGTGATGACAACACCTGTAACACACCATTGTACTTTTTTTTTTTAGTTGAAGTGGCTTTTAATTATATGTTCAAGTGCTATTTTTAAAAATGTTTTTATATTTGGTCAACGTGTGATGCACTGACCAGTGGTGGAATGAAGCAAAGTCTAACAAATTGTAGTTTTACTGCACTGCAATACTGTAGTTTTTACTTCTGACAGTTTATGTACGAGTCACTTTACAAATGACTGATATGATTTGTTATAAATTAAACTCTCCACCTGTACATCAAAGCAGAAACTATTAATAGATAGAAAGTGAATTGACAACTAGTTTGACAGCTGTTTTTTTTTTTTAACATTTAATGGCTTCAGCTTCCTAAATTTGAAGACTTGCTGTTTGCTGTTGTTTTAACTATTTTAATTTTAATTTTGAAATTTGCACTATTGGTTGGACAAAACAAGCAATATGAGGGAGTCCAATCTTTTTTTCTTTTTTTAACAAACCAAAAAAAAAGTTAATTCTGAACTGTGACTTGATAATTAAAATATTTCATGGGACATTTTTCTGCATTGATTAATTTTACTGTTAATATGTTAATTTCATCATAAGTTTCAAGGAATAACAACATTTCTTCCTTCACCGCTTGATCTCAAAACATAGTTTTAACACGGCACATTATTTACACTGAAGTTTTTTTCAAACAGATAACGATCTGGGAAATAAAAAACACATAAATAATCACGATCTACTACACAGATGAATGACAGTACTACTAGCGTGGAAGCATGTGATGTCCTCCCCTCCACTGTCTTCTCCTTTTCCTTTCATTGTGGAAAATATCGGGGGTTTTCTGTGATGGTGCAACACTTGTGTTGTGGGCCGGAGCTCATCTGTTCCGAGATCCTCTGAAGAATATAAAAGGCTGAGATCAGCAGCTTGTCACCACAACCTCTCTGACTCCACCTGAGGACAGCAGGCGAGACAGCAGCTCAGCTCAGGATCACTACTGCCAGCGCAGAGGAAGACATGGTGTCAATCAAAGTTACGGTGATGGCGATCACGCTCGTCACTCTTTGTCTGCTGGACACAAATCACGCCGGTATGTGCTTGCCTTCATCTCTTGCATCTACCCCAAGCCTGATTTGAACTGTTGTTTGTTTCTTTTTTTTTTGTATTTGTATGCATTTATGCAATTCTACTATCTTGATGACTCATATATTACTCTCTTTTACTCTTGCATGATCTAATTATAATCGTCTTTTCTCTTGTTTTGCAGTGAATCATAAATGCTGTCCAAGATACATGACAGTCAAAATACCATTCAGTGCTATTAAGGGGTACTCAGTCCAGACTGTCAGAGAGATGTGTCCCTTTGATGCCATCATGTGAGTATCTCCCACTTCTCAACTACATGAAATAATACATGACATTAGTGTTTACTATTATCAATGGTGTATCATTATTTTTTATATTATTATTAACCATGTGATTTGCTTCTTATAGTTTCCACACAAAGAAGGGTAAAGCGTGCACCGATCCTGCTTTGGACTGGGTGATGGACTACGTCGAGCGTATCAAGTGAGATCTTCACCAAACATAATAACCAACAAATACTTTGATTCCTGCACAAAACAGCAAGTGAAGTAACTCAACTTGATCGACTGTCATTGCAGGACAAGGGCACAAAAAGTGCACGAGACCTCACAACACCTCACAAGACCTCACAAGGGCAGATGAAGAAGTGACTCCAGCTACCAAAAAAAAAATATATCTATTTGAGCTTTGCCTGTGAACAAAGATTCTTCACTGTTCTACAATTTAACTGCTGTCAGTAAAAGCTGTGTTATTAAGCTGTGCATATGAGCTCAACTGTAAGAGCGTTGTATAGTATTATTTTCTTATTTTTATATTCTTTGTAAATGTAAGATTTTGCACTTTGTATTAAAGTTTTGTTGAAAAAAAGAATAACTGGCTCCATTAATGGTTTTTGTGGCATCATATTAAAATAGAAATAGACTTGGTTGGTGCGTGGCTCTTATAAAAACACTTCTTCCTAACATGTGTAGTGAAGCTACTGTACCGTGTCAACATACCAGACTTTATCTAACTTCCCCGTCAATCTTCTCACGGTGAAAAACTCCAGCTCTGGAATTTTCAGGCCCTATGATCAAACCTAGAAAATAATTAAACACAGAGGAGTGAAAGTCCTGTGTGACGTCAGCAGGAGGAAGTTGTGCTGGGTGTTTATTTAAAGCATGTTGTATAACAGGTATTTCCATGCTGACANTACTATTTATTAAAATATTTTTTCTTCACTACTGTTTATAAAATTGAGTCTTGAGAACAAGAAACACAACATACAGCAAACCAAAACCTCACAACAAAACATCCTGCTGACCTTATTGCAATACACATAACAATGTGATGCAACATACACGAGACATCTGGTCTCGTGTACGTTCATCTTAGTTTCCGTTTTTACATCTAAGTATACAAGTTATAATTAGTCGTTTTTACTTCGCCACTTTCATCTGACAGTTTAGGTTCTAGTTACTTTACAAATGACTGATTCCACAATTATAAAATATGATAAAAGTACCAAACAATTAGTGGTTTCAGCTTCCTAAATTTGAAGACTTGCTGTTTTTTGTTGTTTCAACTATTTTAATTTTCATAATTTTGCAGTTTACACTATTGGTTGGACAAAACATGCAATATAAGGGAATCCAATCTTTTTTCTTTTTCAAAACTGCTACTTATATTTTAATATATTTCATGGGACATTTTTCTGCAATGATGAATTTTACTTTTGATATGTTAATTTTAGTGTAAATTTCAAGGAATGACGTTTCTTCCTTCACCGCTTGATCTCAAAACATAGTTTTAACATGGCACATTATTTACACTGAAACATTTCTACGTTCTTGAAGTTTTTTTCAAACAGATAGCGATCTGGGAAATAAAAAACACATAAATAATCATGATCTGCTACGCAGATGAATGACAGTACTACTAGCGTGGAAGCATGTGATGTCCCCCCCTCCACTGTCTTCTCCTTTTCCTTTCATTGGAGAAAATGTCGGAAGGGTTTCTGTGATGGTGCAACACTTGTGTTGTGGGCCGGAGCTCATCTGTTCCGAGATCCTCTGAAGAATATAAAAGGCTGCTAATATCAGCAGCTTGTCACCACAACCTCTCTGACTCCACCTGAGGACAGCAGGCAAGACAGCAGCTCAGCTCAGGATCACTACTGCCAGCGCAGAGGAAGACATGGTGTCAATCAAAGTTACGGTGATGGCGATCACACTCGTCACTCTTTGTCTGCTGGACACAAATCACGCAGGTATGTGCTTGCCTTCATCTCTTGCATCTACATCAAGCCTGATTTGAACTGTTGTTTGTTTCTTTTTTGTATTTGTATGCATTTATGCAATTCTACTATCTTGATGACTCATGTATTACTCTCTTTTACTCTTACTTTATGGAATTATAATTGTTTTTTCCTCATGTTTTGCAGTGAATCATAAATGCTGTCCAAGATACATGACAGTCAAAATACCATTCAGTGCTATTAAGGGGTACTCAGTCCAGACTGTCAGAGAGTGTCCCTTTGATGCCATCATGTGAGTATTTCCCACTTCTCAATGACATGAAATAATACATGAGACGACATTAGTGTTTATTATAAATGGTGTATTTTTATTAACATTATTATTAATCATGTGATTTGCTGGGCTGCAAGGTGGCGCAGTTGGTAGCACTGTTGCCTCGCAGCAAGAAGGT